CTTCTCCACCTGCTGAACAGTGAGCTCCACTGCCCTGTCAATCTCAGCCTCCGTGGTGAACCTCCCAATCCCAAACCTAATAGAAGTGTGCGCCATGTCCTCCTCCACTCCCAACGCCCTCAACACATAAGAAGGCTCCAAACTAGCACTAGTACAAGCACTCCCACTGGACACAGCCACCTCCTTCAAGCCCATCAGCAGACTCTCCCCTTCAACATAAGCAAACGACAAATTCAAGTTCCCCACATAGCGCCTCTCCATGCTCCCATTCACCACCACCCCATCAAGCTTCCCTCTAATCCCATTAAGCAGTCTCTGCTGCAGAGAAGAAATCCTCTTCTCATCATACTCCATCTCCTTCATTGCCACCTCACACGCCGCACCCATCCCCACCACCAAAGGAGTGGGAACAGTCCCACTCCGAATCCCCCTCTCTTGCCCACCCCCATTCATCTGAGGCTCCACACGAATCCTGGGCCTCCGACGAAGATACAAAGCCCCAACCCCCTTAGGCCCATAAACCTTATGCCCACTCAACGACATCAAACTCACATTCCACTTCTCCACGTCAATCGGAATCTTCCCCAACGCCTGAGCCGCGTCGGTGTGAAAAGCCACATTAAAGTCCTTGCAAATCCTCCCAATCTCCTCCACCGGCTGAACCACTCCAATTTCGTTGTTCACCGCCATAACCGACACAAGCCCCGTGTCGGGCCTAATCGCAGCCCGGAGCTTCTCCAAATCGATTAACCCGTCGGACTCCACGGGAAGATAGGTGACATCGAAACCCTCTTGCTGCAGGTGCCTGCACGAATCCAGCACGCACTTGTGCTCCGTCTGCGTGGTTATCACGTGCCGCTTCTTGTCCTTATAGAAATGCATCACGCCCTTGACGGAGATGTTATTGGACTCGGTGGCGCCGGAGGTGAAGATTATCTCCTTGGGAGAAGCGCCGATGAGGGAGGCGACCTGCGCGCGCGCGTGTTCCACGGCCTCGTCGGATTCCCAGCCATAGAAGTGGGTGCGGGAGTGAGGGTTTCCGTAGCGAGAGAGGTAGAAAGGGAGCATCGCGTCCAGAACGCGAGGGTCCACCGGAGATGTCGCCTGCACGTCCAGGTAGAGGGGTCTTCCGGAGATTCTCACGCCCTTCATCGTCCTTCCCGAGGAGGTGTTCCCATCGTGTTCGGGAAGGGCGGCCGCCGCCGCCGTGGATAGGCGGAGGATTTGGGAGGATTTTGTGAGGTGGTGGCGGAGATTGGAAGCAAGTAGCTTAGAGGTCATTGGATCCGTGAGGTTTGTGCGATGGATTAGTCCCACCTACTTACCGGTTTGGTGAAGAAAATGAAAGAATCAAAACAAGATAGACCTAATTTGTTTTTGGATTTGATGATTCGGGGGTTTTGAAGATAGAGATGAACATAGGGTTTTACCATTTCCCACTTTGTGGAGAATCTAACGGTGGAGAGTGAGTTGAGTGTAACCGACTTAACTTATGTCTTTGTATGGTCCCACGTATTGGATTGCGGTTCGCGCATGGGCTTCGACACTGGACCTAACTCTTTTACCCGACGGCGTCGTTTTACCTTTTCTCTACTTAACTTATTTCTGAAATGATTAAATTAAAGCGGTAGTTTAGTTTGTGTCTAAAATGAGTGCACTATAAATAACCCTCAGAATCAGATGCCATTGCCATGAAACAAACACATTCATCTTTCTGCACTTCTGCTTGCTTGTTGCTTGTTGGTAGCCATCGGAGGAAGCAATCTCAAGTCACAGAAATACAAGTTCCATAACCCGAATTATTCCAGGTATGAACGTTGTTAGTATTACCTGTTTATCATTTTCAATACATAAAACCTAATTATTATTAAGATTATAAATAATTATTAATTTAATTGATAGTTATACATTTATCTTATTTTCATCTTAGTTTTTAAAGTCTAAAAGACAAAATTAAAACGTATCATGTGTCTTAAAAAAATTGTAATTAATATATCTCAATAATGTGTTTAATTAAAATTATTTCAATAAAACAATAATAATTAATACATGAAATAATATATATTAGATCTTATATAAAAATAAATAAAATAATATTTTAAACGAAAGTTTAAGATGAAAGATAATATAATTTATATATATATATATATATAATTATACATAAGAATTTAAAAAAATTATAGATAACATATTAACATCATTTTTTTTAAAAGAAATTAAATGGTTTAAATTAAAAACTACAATGTATTTTAAGTTTATTTTATTTATATTATATTTTAATTCTTATAATTGATAAAAATGATGTTAAAACACACACATATAATATATATATATATAACTTTTTGTAGACTATAAAAAATGAGCTAATTCCAAAAATTTATGAATATAAAGATAAAAATAAATGAAAATACTAAACACTAAAATTAAAAAAAAATGATCAAGCAATTGTGAAGGTTTAATTGTCTAGTCTTTTTGTAAGATGAATGTTATTTTTAATTTATATACTATTAAATTATCTAGTCTTTTAATGATTTAGGATAGGTAGCCCTTTTTAATAATCTATGATAACTCTGATACCATCTTAGAATAATATATTTGAGCCTAACTCAATTCTACAAAATTAGTTTGTTTCCACTTATATATTATTTAATTATTTAATCTCTAGTCGATGTGAGACTTAATTTTTTCTCAATAGGTTTAGATCAAAATCAATTGGTTAACTAAATTATTTTAAATAATTTATTTTGGATTATATGGTTATAAATTAAAAAATGTCTCTATTTTAAATTTTGGTTAAAGAATGTTTATTTTAAATTTTGATTAAAGAAAACTCTTAATGTAATTGTATTTTGGTTATTTTTTTTCTAGTAAACAAGTTATCTAGTACCTTTAATTATGAGCTCCTTCAACATTTCATTATTCCTTGTCATATATTCTAGTAATGTTATATCTCCAATTGTTTTAGCTCTAAAATATGAATATTTTATTCATTATTTGTTGTGTATTGTTCATTTAAATTAGAAGTTAATAATATTAATAAATTATGACCAAATCTCTTGATAAGTAGTTCGCACTTTATAAATGTGGTCTAGATAATATCACTATTGCTAGTAAGAGTATTTACTCCCTTAAAGATTTGAACAAGCCTTAAGTAATTTTGCATCCTAAATTTGTAGTTGTTTGACAAATTTGGTGGAATTTTTTTTAAGTCTTTTTCTTACTTATCAATCTTGTTGAGTAGCCACTAACTATTAGTGACAAGATGTGATATCTTTCATATATACTAGTATTCATTTGGACAGGTCTGGGAAAAAAAGTGAGGCTAAAAAAGAAATGTTAGGCATGTTCAAGGCTTCTCCTCAAAGGAATACAAGATGCAAAGACTTCAAGGTGAAAAATGCTCTTCAAATATGTGTTCTAATTGGTGTTTGTATTTGGTTGGCTTATCTAGCTCAACATTCTCGTCAAGAAAAGGCATCCTATGGTGAAGACACAAAATCAGGTAGTGACTCTAGTGAAGTTGTAAAGTTGGGGAGGAAAGATCCTAATATTTATGTGGAGCAATCTTCTATCATAGACACAAAGCACAAGGAGGAAGAGAATGAAGAAGAAAACAAGTATGAAGAGCAAACCAAAACAGATAATATTAATGGTGTGGAAGATGAGATTCAAATGCAAAAAAATGAGCAAAATAACAATGAAGAGAAGTTAGAGCATGGAAATGATCCAATGAATCAAGACATTAAAGAAAGCATTGTGGCCAACAAGGAAATCGAAGAGAATGAGCACAGGGACAACATGGAGAGTGAAGACAACAAAAATAAGGAGGGCAATAAAAGTAGGGAGATTAGTGATGAAAAAAACGAGTCAGAAAAAGAAGAAACAAGAGAAACAGAGAAGGATGATAAAGAGAACGAAAAGATCGACCAAAACATAACTGAAGCAGAGGAGGAGCATAAGGAGAGAAATCACAAGCAAGATAGTAAAGATGGAAGCAATGCAATAGAAAACGAAAAAGGAAAGAATGATGAAATTCATGAAGTGGATTTATCTGAAGATCCAATTCAAGATCAAGATCGAAAAAAGAACAATGAGGATGTTAGAGAAGAAAGTTATGCCTTTAATGTTGTAGGTATGAACAAAACAGAACAATTTGGTCGAAGAGAAAATAATGAATTTGAGTTGGAGTCTCAGGCAAATGGTACTGAAGTAACTTATCTTCATCAGAATGAGATGGTTTTAAATGAAACAAAAAAAACTACTCAAGTGACTAGTTATAATGTCACAACAACCAACCAAGGAAAGGGTAGTGAGAATCAGGTAGAGAAAAAGAACGATTCACATAAGAGTTTTAATGTAGAGTCAAATGAGCAAGAACGTCATAATAAGCCTTCAAGTGATGATGCAGAAACTCTTCAGTCACAGAATGAGACTAACACAACAACTAATACAACTGAAAAACAATTTGAAACATCAGAAAACTCCATAGTAAAGGACTCTAGTTTGCACAATACAACACTAAGAATGAATTTTTCTAATTCAAATGTTGCAACGGAGCATGTTGATTCCACCTTAATAAATTCCTCAAGAACTTATGAGAGAAACACAACTAATGAAGAAGATAATGGCCAAGAAAATGCTAATGGCAACGATCATGATGGGTTAGTTAGTGCTTCTAATTCTTCTATTCTTGAAGAGGAAGATGCATCCTCAAAGAAAAATGATGATGTCGAACAGGTTGAGAATGAGAACATTAATATAAGAGAAAGTGAAGGTGAAGACAAAAATGAATTAGTTGAATCACAAAAAGAGAAAGAAGAATCAATACATTGATTAGAGATGACCATTAACAACCCCAAATTGAATTACCAAGACAGTTCTTATTTTACAAATCATTAGGATGTGGAATAAGTTTAGGAGCTTTGTCAGGAGCAAAAACAACAATTAATCATAATGAAGTTGAGGCCACAAAGTGATACTAGTCAATAAATCAATTGTATCGTGATTTTTTCTTTCTTTTAATCTTACTCCATTTCTTGTTTTTGTTGAGAAATGTATTGTACTTCAATTGTATGGTGTTCTTTGACTTCTTACAATTTGTTGTTGCAATAATAAGATTATCCAAAAAAGACATGATATATCGAGTGATATATAAGAAATTTTGATGAATGAATCATTTTATATATGATTTATTGGATCACACTTCTTGTTATTATATACTTTTGTTGATTCTTCAAAGCATTCAATTAATAAACTTTAGACTTTTTTTTTTGCATGATTTCATCCTACAAAAATATGAAAAGAGAATAATGAAAATAGATACAAAGAAAAACCATCTACTATGTTAGGATTAAATATTTTTTTTTATGTTCTTGTCAAAATATAGATACTATATTGCCAAAGTAATCCTTGATCAAATTCAAGTTTCATTAAGATGGGGATTACTTGCAAAAATGTGAAATGCTATCTCCTCTAAAAAAATATATGTCAAATTATCTTATGAATCACACTAAAGCAAACACTTATCGATTAAATTGACTATAATTTATTTTATTTTTTAAAAATTCATTTTTCAATCTTACCCGTTGTCCCACACTTGTACCACCCTTTAGACTTTTTTCATGTCATCTTTTTCTAAACTTAATGTCGACGGTCTTTCCCCGCTCCCCCCTCTCTCCAAGTTTTGTTCAATGAATTTCACCCACAAGATTTAATTTTCAAGTACAATCTCAATGCTGTGTTTTCTTTTTGTTGAGAGCTTTGTGCTTCCTATGGTGGGAGATATGGTAGAACATTGTGGGGTGGGTCTGTAAACAATGATAGGGCAATTTGTGCACAAAATGAGTGATGGAAAAACATTAATAATGATTTTATCTTTCTACTTACATGAGGGGACCTTGGGGAGTCAGGACATGGGCACTCAAACGCATTTCAGAGAATGCATGTTTAGGTGAGTCGGATAGGCAATGGTCGAGAGTTATGGGGATCAAGTCAGAGCGAGGTAAGTAAAGTCAGGGAGGATGAGTTCCATTTGCAACTCATTAAACTTCAGGTTGGGGAACCTTCAAAAGTACATTTAGGAAAAACATGAGGTAGTAGGCCTAAGCGACATGCTTCAGTTGTCGACAAAGCCACTCATGGCTAGGTTCCCTAATTAAATTAATTTGGTCCAAAACTTGTTTGATTTTTAGTTTTTTTTTCTATACATTTGATTTAATTTAATGCTTGCCATAGCTAATTCAAATTTAAAATAAATCACTAAATATTAATTAATTTTACTATCACAGAAAATAACGAATAACATGTTTAATCATGTCAATTTTTAACAAGTTGAACATTCATAAGCTTCCCAAAATTCAAGTCTTCAATGAGGTCATTTTGAAGCCCATATTCAACAGCACCAATGACAATGCGTGTGCCCATACATGAGATGGTATGAGACAAACCTTATTGATCGTACCTTTTTGACCATGTGTAGGGGTATATCTAGAAAGAATTAAAAAAAAAAAGATTAAAATAAATAAATATTTTATAGCTAAATGAGTTGACAAGTGTTAACTTTAACTGGTTCAGAGGATTAGTTGGCTACTTTTTTCAAAGAGTGTATCACTTCTCCCTGCAAGATACCATATTACAGAATCATACAATCCTATTATATGAAATGTTCCAAAACTAAATACAAGTCACCCCAATAAATGAATTCCAATAGTTTCTTTGACAAATCCAACGAAAGTTTTTTGTTATATTTATTATTTTATATGTTTATATCTCGTTAAAATTGGATAACAATTTAAAAATAATTAAAATATTCATATTTTAATATATTTTAAAAAATATATATTACGTCAATTTTATTTTATAAGAATAAAATATCAAATTATCTTATATTAATATAAAATTTTGTATATATATATAATATAAAAATAATTTTTTTTAATCTAACAGTTAGATTTATAAAATTTATCTTTAATATAAAATTATTGAACAACATAATAATTAGTAAAAATTATACTAATATTATTATAACTTTGTTTATATATATATATATATTAATGACTCATTATATATAAATCGACCATAACTCAATTCTTAAGACAAGCTGTACAATATAATTACACATTTATTTTAATAGAGTAATACATAAATAATTGTTAAACTAATTGAGATGTAAAAATTATTCATAGTTAACTGTTGCTCATGTGCTTTGATCATCATGTCATTAATTCAAAATTGAAAGCGACAAACAAGAAAACTGAGCAAAAATTGGTGAATTTGTACATATGAAGTAGACTATTGAGCTATACTAAAATTGTTTTAGGGATAAAAAATCTGTGGACTAATAATTCCCAATGGGTTGCCACTTGCATAAAAAACACGGACTATTTTTCTTTGGCCGGTTCTAACACTGCTTCGCATCACTACTATCACCCAAGTCACATTTCTAGAAAGGACATTTTTTCCGATTCTCACTTAGTGACCAATTGTCATAAATGGACAACTCCTGTGACAAATTGTTATATACTCCTCATTTGATCAAAATGATAAAAATCTCATGACCACCCAATTGAAGAATAATAAATAAACCCCCAAAATTTACAAATGCGTAATGTTCTTGGCTTCATAAAAAGTGGTCCAGGAAGGAAGCTTGAAATGGAAGCACATCCACCCTATAGGGCGAGTCAATTCAATTGTCATGTTCCATGTAAATTCCCACGATTCCACTCCTTTTTTATGCCACAAAATGAGGGATTAAGATCAGTCTTAGTTACTTCAATAATAATTAAACTTAATTTACAATTAAAAAAAATGGAGTCCACAGAAACTCAGAAATTAAATTCTGGTCTTGTATATGTATTCTATTTCTATAATCTATATATGTTAAGAAAAAAAAGGAAAAAGAAAAAAAAGTGTAGGTGAAAAGGTTGATTAATTAAGAGTGTGTTGGTGGTCCTGATGATTTGGCTTCATCACCAAGGACCCCAAGCGAGTACACGACATCCTCCCTGGACCAGCCCGCACGCAACAAAAGCAAGGACAAAAGTGTCACGTGCCAGGCGACGCCCTCTTTGTCTTTGAAATTCAAGGAATCGTGCTTCTTCTGATTCTGATTCTCTTCCAGCGTCATCATGTCGCGTATCTCCTCCTCCCTCCACCCACCCTCCCTCAGCCGCCACACCGCCTTGTCCATGCACCCGGCCACCCCTTTCTCCACGGCGCTGCCCCACCACCACCACCGCCCGCAGCGCGCCTCCGCCACCTCCGACCAGAACCTGACCCTTCTAGCCGCGGTGGCCGCCCACACGGGCTCCTCCGAGTCCCGCACCAGAAACTCCCGGAAGAACCCCGCCACGTCGAAGCTTAGCAGCAAAACTTGGCCATCCTGGTCAATGTAGAAAATGGGGTTCCCAGCACCGTCGGTGGAGGAAGGGATATAACAATGTCGATAAATGGGAACGAGAGGCGGCGCGTCGTTTAACAGCCCCCTCACGGCTCGGGTGATGTCGGATGGCTGGGGGCCCCAGGAAGGGTGCCAAAATCGGGTCTTTGCGACCCGACGGAGAATGGAGGCTGCTGGGAGGTTTAGAAGAATTTGGAGCTGTTGCGTTGAAGAGGAACGCCAATTGGGGAAGCCTTGAGAAACGGGAAGGCCTTGCTGGAGAATCACGCGAAGATCCGCTGGAAACGAGAATCTTAATTTAGATTCTATGTTGGTGAGTTCCGCCTCCGAGAGTCCTTTCTCGATTACCATGTTCGACGATTTCAGGCTGTTTAGGAGCTCGTTCGCGTATGCCGCGAATGAGAAGCATATTCGTTTCGCTTTCGCCCTTGCAATTGGTGGCTTCGATTTCACTCTCCCACCTTTCTCCTTCTCTTTAACGCTGCTCATCGCCGTCGCCATTCTCGATTTTTCTCTATTGGGTATCAAAACAGAGAGTGGTTCCGCTGCATTAGGATTAGGATTGAATGAGTCCTTGTGACTTGTGTAGAGAGAGACAGAGTTTGACTCTTTATAGGTTGTTTGTTTTTGTTAACGTCTAGAGGGGACTTGCATTAGGAATGTAAACTCTATCAATCTCACACCGAGACCGCAACCTAGTTTTCTTGCTATTCACCCACGTGTTAACCTTTCATTCGCAATTTTCTTTCTTTTTTTCCTTTCTCAAGTATTCCTCTTTAGCTCTAGCCAGTTTTCATAACACTTCATTTCTGAATTACACCCACATTTGTCTTTTAGGTAAAAGTGCTAATAGAGAAAGGACTATAAACCATATAATATAATATGTCCATTCATGGCTTTCTAATATTAAATGATAAACGATTCTCTTCCCTCTTGCTATAAAATGGCCTTATTATAAATGAATTTCTACAGTTGGAACAAAGAGAAGATTTTTGGATTTGAAATGTAATTTCCATGCTGGCTTTATTATTTTCACAATGACTTGGGGATCTCTATTATCTGCTCGCTTAATAAATTCCAACTACAAGTCATAACATTCAATTCAACAATTGCGATATCCTACCATAAATTTCGGATCACAGATGCTATGCACTAAATATAAACAATTATTTTCTAAACAAAGGTTATTAAATGTTTCTAAAAGTATCATTAATTGCAAAATTTATCTCTATAATCCGATATTCCCTTCTATCCTTTTTATAAACATGCTAAATTTTAATTCTTTAACAACATTTTTTTTATATTTATTAAAATATTATTATATATTATATAAATATTATTTTATAACATTTTTTTGAAAAATGTTCATTATAGATAGAGTAACATTTTTTATTTCAATATTATTCTTTTCAATTGTTTTTAAAATTAAAGTCTCATATCGAGTAAAAAAAATTTACATAAGTTATTTTGTAACATTTTTTTAAAAAATGTTACTATAATTGCTTCTAAAATCAAAGTCCCACATCGAGTAAAAAAAAAAACTTTTATATCTAATTATAACCCATAATTAAAGTCTCACATCAAATAGATTATAATTCATAAAGAGTATATATATTTATATAGTTATATTTAAGATAAATAAAATTTGATATTCTATATATAATTAGTGGTGACTAACTAAATTTCTTTCCCTAAAAACTTAAGGAATTCATAGAAGTTTAAGAAACATATCAATATAAACCAATTGGGACTAGCTCTGTAAGATCAGGACGAGCACCAAAAAGGAGAGGGAGCCCTAAGCGGTCATTGGCCTCAGTGGATGCATTATATGAGTTTCAACTCAGTGCTGGTAGTAGAAATCCTGCACCAAGTAACAATCTGTCTCAAAGTAAAGCAAATGTTATTTTTGGAAAGGATAAAGACTTGAAACTTGTCTACTATAAACCATCACAACCAGATAATAAAGTGTTTAACAATGGAATGGGTGTTGGAAATACTGGTAATAGGAATCTTGGGTTGAAGAAGTGAGAGAAAAAGTTGTAAATCCTCTCAGACTCAGAGGTTGAAGAAAACACGGACTTGTATCCCTCCGTCAAAGGAAGGTTCAGGCAAAATCATCTTTCATTACAACCCATGGATAACCAAATCGGTTTCTTTATTAATCAAGAAACTGGGGTACGGAACTCTCGGTTTTCTTGGTTCTAACAAAGTTATTATCAATCTTTTCTGGCTTTACAAATTCATCTTCTTCTGAAACCTATTTTATTTTACGTTCTTGTTCTTTCTTTCTTTCTTTCCTTTTCTTTTATTTTTATTTTTGTTTACGAGTACTTAAACAACGTAAATTGCATTATACGTTATTCTTGGTTTCTTGATTAATAAAGAAACCGAATTGGTTATCCATGGGTTGTAATGAAAGATGATTTTGCCTGAACCTTCCTTTGACGGAGGGATACAAGTCCGTGTTTTCTTCAACCTCTGAGTTTGAGAGGATTTACAACTTTTTCTCTCACTTCTTGGCTTCGCTTTACTATTCAATTTTCTCTCCCGTTCGCGCCTGTGATGTCACGCACTCGTATTACTATTTATATGTTTACTCGTATTACTATTTATATGTTTGAGCCTTTGATGTAATATATTCAATTGGGCCGGTTATTCTCATTTGTCAAATTACTTCTTTTTCTATAACATGGACATGCGTTTTTTACTAGTTGGCCCATTATAAAATAAAAAAATCTAATTATCTTTTTAATTCCTATAATTTTAAAAACTTTATTATCTAATTTTCATAGATAAAAAGAACGTTTCATTTCATTCATTAAATATATATTTTTTTTTACAAAGTGACCTCTATTTCTATAAATTTTAAAAAGAAAAATTATGTAACTAATCAAATTTTGGCAAAAATACATTTTTTGTCCCTTATATTATTTATTAGTGTCAATTTAGTCTCACTTTAATTAATTGAATCAATTTAATCCTACATCTTTAAAATGTTTCTTAATGTTTAATTTTTCGTTTTCTCCGTTAAAATACTTAACGGATTTGTCACGTGTCATGTCACGTGTCATTCATCATGCCACATGTCATACCATGTGTCATGATGTTCATCGATGTAGCATGATAGCATGACACGTGGCATGATACGTGTCATATCCGTTAAGTATTTAAACGGAGGAGACAGAAAATTAAATATTGAGATATATTTTAAAGATGTAAAACTAAATTAATTCAATTAATTAAAGTGAGACTAAATTGACACTAATAAATAATATAAGGAACGAAAAATATATTTTTGCCTTAAAATTTTATAACATCTATCGTACCAGACAGTTTGCTTACATAAGAAATAGTTGTTTAAAAATAAAAAATCATTTAAAGGCTCAACTAACAAATTTCAAAGAAGAGAGAATAAAACAAAATATAAGTTCATACACAGTAATCAAAATGATTAAATTAATTTATTTGCCTTAAAATTAAGTATAAATAAAAAAATATAAAATAAGAATTTTTAAGATTTGCTTATAAAAAATATCATTAAAGTAAAATATGTATAAATTGTTTAAGAGTTACTTAAGTATTATGTGATATTGTAGGACTTATTTGAAATAAGATAAGATATCAAAGTGTGTATCTTATTGGATACACTGCATTTGGAAATATTTCCGGTCCTAGTTTTGTATTCTCTTTTATCTTCTCCTTTTCTCAATTTCCCTTTCCATCCAGTGTCCTGCCTCTTATCCCCAAACAGATTAGAGAAGTGGGAGAAACACTGCATTTGGAACTGAAGGAAGTGTGGTGTTTCTAAAAGTATCATTAATTGCAAAATTTATCTCTATAATCCGATATTCCCTTCTATCCTTTTTATAAACATGCTAAATTTTAATTCTTTAACAACATTTTTTTTATATTTATTAAAATATTACTATATATTATATAAATATTATTTTATAACATTTTTTTTGAAAAATGTTCATTATAGATAGAGTAACATTTTTTATTTCAATATTATTCTTTTTAATTGTTTTTAAAATTAAAGTCTCATATCGAGTAAAAAAAATTTACATAAGTTATTTTGTAACATTTTTTTAAAAAATGTTACTATAATTGCTTCTAAAATCAAAGTCCCACATCGAGTAAAAAAAAAAACTTTTATATCTAATTATAACCCATAATTAAAGTCTCACATCAAATAGATTATAATTCATAAAGAGTATATATATTTATATAGTTATATTTTTTCTTTCCCTAAAAACTTAAGGAATTCATAGAAGTTTAAGAAACATATCAATATAAACCAATTGGGACTAGCTCTGTAAGATCAGGACGAGCACCAAAAAGGAGAGGGAGCCCTAAGCGGTCATTGGCCTCAGTGGATGCATTATATGAGTTTCAACTCAGTGCTGGTAGTAGAAATCCTGCACCAAGTAACAATCTGTCTCAAAGTAAAGCAAATGTTATTTTTGGAAAGGATAAAGACTTGAAACTTGTCTACTATAAACCATCACAACCAGATAATAAAGTGTTTAACAATGGAATGAGTGTTGGAAATACTGGTAATAGGAATCTTGGGTTGATTCTTGGCATGCCTTCTCAAAACACTGCAAAAAATGTGTTAGGTATAAACCCTCAATGTTTCTCCCATAATGATACCACTTTCATCCAACAAGAAGGAAACACAACTCGTGGAGGGATTTTGTATGCAAATGAAGATCATATCGAAGTATCATTTGAAGGTGAAAATGAGGTGATGGAAGATGAAGTCAATGTTGGTTAAATTTTGGTGTACATTGTAGTTACTATGACATAATAATGCCATAGTAACTAGTCCAAAAGGTATGTCTCCCTTTAACAATTGGTATAGCAATAGTACTTTTACAAGTAATGACTTACATTTAGCTAACTGTCTTACATGAAGGATCATTATTAATCAACTCGTCATGGATTTTGATATAGACTATAAAGCAATATGAATATTTTTGTTAATGTTTTGTCATATTATCATATTCAGGCAATTTCATGTTATTTGTCCTTTTTAGTCACTTTTTTATGCTATTTATCAAAGAGAAATTGCGGTTATTAGAAAAATTACACCGAAACTAAGATACATATTATTGTAAAAAAATTATTTAAAATTGTTTTTAGTTACATAGAAGCATGAATATTCTTACCTATTTGTAATGTAGAGGAGTGCTAGCATTTCTTTAGTATTGTAAAAGAAACATAAGCGGACCCATCAAAGTGGGGTTGGGGCTAGATTTTTATATAAGAAGCAAAAGGTGACATTATACTTTAGCAGTCCCTTTGGTAATTCGTAATTAAAATTAAGTACAACTTCATTATTCAGTAGTAAACAAATCACACTAATAACACATCAAAATCCAAAATTTTAAAATAATTATAAATATTAAAACCCAAAATTTTAAAGTATTATCACAATATAAAATTTTAAGATATCAAGTTGACGAGTCATTCTCACTTTTACATTATTCAACATATTTATCTTATTATATATAAAACTCTCATTTATACTTAAAACTCCAATAAATATGAGACTTA